ACTTATACTTATTATCTTGTAAACAATTGGCAAATCAAATAAATAAATAAATAAATAAATAGGGGTATTCAAACTTGGCAAGTTTAAGACTTGTGGACTTCAACTCCCAGAATTCCCAAGCTAACATGATTGGAGGAGGAATTCTGGGAGTTGAAGTCCACAAGTCTTAAAGCTATCAAGTTTGAAGACCCCTGGATTAGATAGATGTAGGCAGGCAGGTAGATAAATTAGACAGGCATTAGACAGGTAGATAGATGATAGATAGATAGATAGATAGATAGATAGATAGATAGATAGATAGATAGATTGATTGATAGATAGATAGATAGATAGATATTATAGACAGATAGATAGATATTATAGACAGATAGATAGCATTAGTACTTAGACTTATATACCTCTTCATGGTGCTTTATATGAGACAGAAACAATCAATTCACACTTCATTCGCTGACGGTGTTATAAAGAAAGGAAATGAAACATTTTGAGACTAAACTCAGAGAGAACCCAGTAATATTTACCTTTCTAATCACACAGATTCTATATCCTTTTGAATGCATGTCACTGGTTTCCCATCCCTTTCTAGTACAAACTGAGACATAGTCAAATACTCTGTTTGGTGCAAATTCTGTTTGTTCATTTGCAATTTAATACCATCTAATTTTATTGGGTCTGGTTGTATCACCTTTTTATTGCAGTCATTAAATGAATCATATGGTCCTTAAGCAAATCCAGCTTCTCCCATTAACCTTGCTTGTGGGAAGCACTCTAGGAATGTCACAAATGGCAATCATGTCATCCCTGGATACTGCAAACAGGAAATAAAATGCTACTTGTCAAGTACCCAAATTTTGATCATGTCGTGGGGATGTTGCAATGGTCACAAGTGTCATAAATCAGGTTTTCAGCACTGTTGTAATTGAACAGTTGTTAAATGAATGATTGTAAGTCAAGGAATGCCTGTACTCTCTGCGGCGCATGTTAACCCTGGACAGAAGCAAAGTAGTTATTTCAGTTTAAGGCTTAAAGTTTTAATTTAGATTATAGTTTAAATAAATGTCTGTGCCTTGTTGATCATCATTTTAAAACTCTTTAATGATCCATTGCTTACATTATACTGGCTGTAGGCCTTCTTTCCTGTTTGTTGTCTTTGCTTCTGTAAATTCTAGGTCCGTGTTTATCCTATGTTTGTTTTTACACTTTTTAAAAATAAAAAGGATCATTTAACATCTACCAAAACAACATTTTAAAAAATATAAAGGACTTAATGCTATTTGGAAGCAGAGGCTTTATTATTTCTAATGCTGCCATGTCTAAAACAACAAAGTTTTATAAAAGTACATTTAAATACATAGGAAGGTAAGTAAAATGTGCATACATAAATTCAACCTCTGTAGCACTTAGCTTTACCTTGTTTTTGTATTTTCCTCCATTAAAAATACAAATAACTTCAGTAAGTAAAACAAGTAAAGCTAGAACCCAGGAGACTGAAGTTCTAATCACACCTCTTAGGCACAAAGCCAGATGCATGTCCTTTGGCCAGTCACTCCCTCTCAGCCCCAGGAAGAAGGCAAGGGCAAAATACGTCCAAAATTCTTGTCCCAAAACTGTAGGGATTTTTTTAAGGAGTCAGTACTTACCCAAACAGGGAGAGAGATAGAGAATAATGGATTAGATTTTAATTAAATCTTAACTTGGAAGGGGCAGGAAACTCCGTTTTTATCTTCTAAAGCAGGGCTTGCCCGTGTTGTTTTCTTGGTAAAAATACAGGAGTGATTTACCATTGCACCGTCCCCCATAATATGAATCTGAATGCCTTTGCCATTGTCACAAAGTGATCATCTGACTCTCAACATCTTCCTACACTGTTTCTGCCAAATACAGGTGCCTGCTTGCTTTAGCTGGACACCTTCACATCTGGGAATATATACTCTTGGCATATAGCCCCAATATTCTTCACTAGTCCCTGTCAGAACAGCCCCAGTTCATGATGAAGCAGCACAGTAGAAATTGGGGGATGTACCATTGGGAAATCTCAGACCAGGTTAGGAGCAAATCATGGAAACTATGGGTCCTTAAGATCCAGCAACACATAACCAAAGCAGGGCTTGAGAAGCCTTAAGTGTTCCAATATTTGAAGGGCTGCTACAGAGAGGAAGGGGTCAAGCTATTTTTCCAAAGCACCTGAAGGCCAGACAAGGAATAATGGATAGAAACTGAACAAGGAGAGATTCAACCTAGCAATAAGGAGAATTTTTCTGACAGCAATCAATCAATGGAACAGCTTGCCCTTGGAAGCGGGAGAGTCATCACTGGAAGCTTTCAAGAAGAGACTGGATTGCCATCTGTCAAAAATGGTGTAGGGTCTCCTGCACGGGCGAAGGGTTGAGCTAGATGGCCTACAAAGTCCCTTCCAACTCTGTTAATCTGTATCTCTAAGCAAAGTACTCTTGCTCTGCTAATCCCTTGAAACAGCACCATTTTTCTTTCTCCAGCTGTTTCTCTTCAAGAAGAGAAGGGCTACAGAAAAGTATAGCAGAAACCTATGGAAAAACAGGTGATTTGGACAGAAAGGGTGAAACCAGAATAAGTAATCACTAGGTAGTTACAATTTCCCAAGGGCTACCAGTTCTGAACTGCAAAATTCCAAGCTACTATCTGCAGGGGTGGAATCCGGCTGGCATAACAACTGGTTCGGGGAGTGCGTGCATGTGCATCAAACATGCTACCGGCTCCGGCAAGCATTTACCTTCTCCAGCTGACAAGCGGCACTCAGCTGTGCCGCACAAAGCAGCTGAGGAGGAAAATGCAGCCACTAAAGGGCAGCCAAGAAGCCGGGCAGGCAGGAGGGCCAAACAGCAGACCAAAACCTCGTCCCAGTAATCGGTTTGGTGTCAGCTGCTGTCCGGAGCTGCCAGTTCTATAGAACTGGACCGAACTGGTAGGATCCCGCCCTGACTAGCTGACAGCAAAGAGATTAAATTGTTTGCTGCTACTTAGTGGCTGTTGGATTGTGGAGTCCACATCTGATAGTCTTAGACTAGGGGTGTTAAACTGGATTTTTTCGAGGGCCAGATCAGCATTGTAATTTGCCGGCCAGCTGACCAAGAAAGACGGGACAGACGCCTCCTGCAGCACTCTGCTGGCCAAAACAGGGCGTGGGGGGGCTACCTGAGGCCCCCCTGTGACCCGTTTTAAGCCTGGATGGCCTGCAGCACCCTGCCGGCCATAACGGGGTTGTGTGGGGTGTGCAAGCCCCCACCCCCATGCCGTTTTGGCCAGCAGAGTGCTGCAGGAGGCTGCCCAGGCCGAAAACAAGGCGCAGGGGAACTGTGCGTGCACCCCCAGCCAGCGCTCTGTTTTGGCTGCCAGAGGCACCACGGGCTGATCCTTTGCTATTTCCAGGCCAGCCCCACGGGCCAGATTTAAGCAACCCATGGGCCAGATCCAGCCTGCGGGCCTTGAGTTTAACACCCCTGTCCTAAGCTTTCCTTATTTTTTGCAGATGGCAGTGAAGAAATTAAAAGCATACATTCACTTTAATTTTGGAACACCCATAAATACAGAAATAGATAACAATTGCGGGGGGGGGGGGGAGAAGGTGGCAGGCCGCACACATTAGTGTTACATCTTCACATCATGTTTGTCTGTAAAATGGTTTCGTAGCAACATACACACCATGCCAGTGGCACCTGCTCATGGGTCCCTATGCACGGTTGGAGGAGTGTAGCTTTCAAGCCATTTCAACAGTGGTGTGCAGTGACTAGAAGTAAGGTAATTGATGCCTGCTTTTGAACCACATAACCACATAACTGTTCCAATCTGTATTGTACACAATCTATAGATCTCTGCCAAGCCTCTCAATTTCATCAAGGAAGAAATTCAGGTCATCTCTGGTGACTGCTGGATTGGTGACCACCTGGCGGAAAAAGTTCACCCGTTTGCCATGTGGCTGATAGCCCACCAACATGGAACCTTTCTTCATCATCCGTTCCTTAATCAGTGGAGCTACCTAATCAAGGAAAACAAACAATCAAAACTTCTCAGAAACTGGTTGCACTATGATGGTACAAGATATCCACTCACCCAATATGCATCCATATTATGTGTGAACAGAGTTAGTTCTGGGTATCATTCATATTAATCTAGTTCATCATAACAATATTAGTAACCTCTATCACATTTATCAAATTTAAGTAATCCTCATTATATTTTTTTAAACATACATAAACTAAAAAAAAGCCTAACTCCTCATCTTTATCTCTATCTTCATTATGTCTTTCTTGTTCAGTCTAAACATTTCTTACATATAATAAGAAAGATATCTTAAAAAAAGATATCCACCCCCAGCCACCCTCCCCGCATAATGAAACTTTATTTCCAGACAGGTTCTAAAAATGGCTTTCAAATGTGGAATCGAATTAGGTCCTTGTGTGCAATTTTTATCAAGGATAGCTACATAGGGTTGCCTCCTTGATGTATATAATAAATGTTTATATGAAAATCTGGCAAAACCCATATATTCAAGATTCATTTATAATGCTTTATTGAGTTTTTTTCCATTTATACATAATACCAATAGTTATTAAACAGGGCTGTGACATTATATATACATTTATGTGTCCTATCAAAACTTACAATACACAATACTTTCATACCCTCTTATGTATTATATACATTATTTACATTTTCTATTCTTATATTTATTATCAATCCAAATAAACCATGTTTCCCATACTGCATTGTATTCTGTGTTTGCTTTCCTTCTTAATTCCATAGTTAATTTATCCATTTCCACACACTCTGAATTTTTTTTGATTATTAAGCCTTCAGGTGGTATGGAGTTTTTCTTCCAGTACTGAGCGTATGAAAGATGCAGTTATTATTCACAGCCTTTTTCCCAGATTACCTATGATTCAATAGATCCCCAATCCAAATCAAAACTTCTTACTTGTGGCTCGGGCAACAGGTGCTCAGGTTAACCAGTTCAAAAATAGCATCTTTGGAATTAATGGTGGATGATATCTCACAAATTAGGGAATCTGAAAACCCTGGCAAGGCTTCACAGTATCATTGGCCTCTTTACCAGGGACCAGGCAAGCTTGGTATGGCTTTGCCCCCTCAGTTTGTCAGCGCTTAGCATGTGTATTCTGCACTTCTAAGCTTTGTCAGCTCTGTTATAGGTTGTCTTGACTAGCTGCTCTCTTTAGTTTCTTTCACACGAGTGTTGTGAAACAGGTCAATAGGCTTTACAGACTTACAGTTTTACAACCACAATTGAGCCCCAAAATTATGTTGCTAAGCAAGACAGTCGTTAAGTGAGCTTTGCCCCATTTTATGACCTGTCTTGCCACAGTTGTTAAGTGAATCACTCCAGCTGTCAAGTTGGTAACACAGTGGTTAAGTGAATCTGGCTTCCCCTTTGACTTTGCTTGCCAGAAGGGCGCAAAAGGTGATCACATGACCCTGAGACACTGCAACGTCATAAATACGAACTAGTTGCAAATACCTGAATTTTGATCATGTGACTGTGGGGATGCTGCAACGGTCATCAGTGTGAAAAATAGCCATAAATCACTTTTCTCAATGCCCTTGTAACTTCAAACGGTCACTAAATGAATGGTTGTAAGTCAAGGGCTACCTGTATCCTAAACTGACTGGGTGGAGTTTGCTTAAACTTGGAACCAAATTGGACTTGGAGTGCTAGCTGACAATTAACCCCCTCCTTCATGTTCCTCACTACTCTAGCCCACTCCCCTTACCCCCAATGAAGCATATTGTGGAAACAAGGTCAATGACCAATGGGTGTTGGTGCCTCCATCTGGATCCCCTTAGTCTACATCCTCTTCTGACACTGGGAAGCTGAGCATTCGAGGGCAGTTCCTAACCGTGGATTTTATGTGGGTTTAAGCTACATCTCCACCATAACAAGCCAGAATGGCCAATAGCCAGTTGTAAGAGATGATTGGATTTCTATCCCTGTAACATCAATGGACATTAAGGCTGGCATCACAACACAAATGTCTTTCTTTTCTGCACATTAGCATTCCTGCATTGCATCCTGCTTGATTCTGTAGGCAAGCAACAAATGCACACATGTCCATTTATCCTGAAAGAGCTTGCCTCCTTTTTAATGAACGCTGGATGCGGAAACATGTGTGAACTCTGCTTTGCACTTGTTTTACAACACAGGAGTCTCCAGAGGGAGTTTTTCCCTGCTCTTACTTCCTATTTCAAAGATGCCAAAACTTACCTTCTCCAGTTTCACCCAGTAATCAGCGCAGTCTTCCTGCCCTTTCAGACTGGGAGGTACATACCAAAAACAGAGATTGATGAACTCTGGCTGAAAAAGAAAAAGAAAAAGGAGTTAAAAAAACCCTAAAAGTTATCTTGTGATAACTTTTCTTCCCTCTAGTCTTTGTGCAGTAGGAAGCCACTTTCTTATGGCAGTAATACATTGACAGTAAAGAAACTGGAATACAGAACCATAAAATGATTTATTTGGTTTTAATGTAGCACACAGGTGTCAAACTCATGACATCACGTTGTCATCATGTGACGCATTGAGACTTTTTTCCCCCCGTGGGTGAGGTCAACGCGTGACTCATCCAGCCCAGGGGCTGCGAGTTTGACATCCTGATCTAGCATGATGTATAAACCCAACCATTACAGCTCGCAATTCATCGTTTATGCCACCTATAAGCAATTTACAATCTCCCTACGGGGCCCAAGGCTCCTCAGGATTGCATTATTGCAAGTCTGTGGCAAACTGTCAAATTACATGGCACAACTTTCTGCATCGTTTTAGCAAGAGCAATGAAATGGATATATTTAGTTATCCATTTCATATCCAAGGTTAAAAATATTAGTTCCCATTTTTTAAATGGTATGTCAATCCCCCACAAAAGTGAAGTCCAAATTCCTGCCTCCACCCCTTCAGATGATGCCACTGCATTACTGCCCTTTTAATACTTGTTGCTTTTTGAATGAGACCTGGCATCCCAAAAATGCTGCAAGCCCTAATTTCTGGATGGAGATCCAGCCTGGTGTAGTGCTTAAGGCATCAGGCTAGAACCTGGCAAACAGGGGTGGGATTCTACCAGTTCGCACCTATTCGCTAGAACCAGTTGTTAACATTCTAAGCAGTTCGGAGAACCGGTTGTTAGAAGAAATTACTGGCCTAATCCTGTAAGGAAGGCAGGAAGGAAACATTCTGGTGTTGCTTACAGAAACTGCCTCTCCGTTAACCCTTATTACATTCTTGGCAGGACTAGACTTCCTGTCTCAAGAACTTCTCTGGAGTTTTTTCCCCCTCCTTTGCTTGTGTGGAGTGACCATTCAAAGTTACAATGGCACTGAAAAAAGGAACTTATGACCATTTTTCACACTTACGACTGTTGCAGCATCCCCAGAGTCATGAGAGGCCAGGTGAGGAGATGCGTGCCTCGATGTGAGTGATATTGAGTTGGCCATGCCCAGCCAATAACATGACCACCAAGCAATGCCCACCACCTAAGCCACGCCCACAGAACCGGTTGTTAAAAAATTTGAATCCCACCCCTGCTGGCAAATCGTGAGTTAGGCACAAAATCAGCTGGGTGACTTCATGCCAGTTACTTTCTCACACTCCTAAGAAGAAGGCAAGAGGCAAACCACTTCTGAAAATCATTCCTGCAGGAACTTATCCAGGCAGTCAGCAGGAGCCAACAATGACTTGAAAGCACACATTCACACACAGAGAGACAATCGGGATTATCAGTTATGTGAAAACATGTTTCAAAAAGTAAAAAGAAAACTGCTGACTTAATGGAGAGTTAGAACTGAAGTTTCAGATCATGAATTGGTAGGAATCATTTAAACCAGCAGTCGCCAATATCTTCAGCTCTGGTGGTGGGGTGGGGGGAAGAGGATGGTATTGCGCCCACGCATGTCACTTGCACAAATAGAGCTTTGCTCACTCGCCTGCTGCTTTCACGGTCCGGTCCATTGAATCCAAACCTCCTTCAGTTGAGGAATCCAAATTAAAGCATTTGTGACTAATGGATATCCAGCTTCTGTTTTTCACCACATCCAGAACCCACCTCTTCAGTGATCTGAGCACAAGACATGGTCTTATGTGTGAGAACAGCAGGGGTTCACAGGGGTTCGGGAGAGCCCCTAGCTAAGATTCGGCACAGTTCAGACAACCCCCAAATCCCACTCCCGGCTGGCCCCGCCCACCCTGCCCCACCCCGCCCCTCCCAGGAGTCCCCACATGGCCCATTTTGGATGCAGGTAAGTGCAGGGTTTGTGCAGAGGCTCTGGGAAGATGAAAAACAGGCCTCCCGTAAGTTTGGGAAGGCCAGAAACGGGCCCATTTCCAGCTTCCAGAGAGCCTCCGGAGGTCGGGGAGGCTGTTTTCACCCTCCCAGAGGCTTGAGGAAAGCCTTCGGAGCCCAGGGAGGGCAAAAACACCTCCTCCATGGTGAAAGAGGCCGACTAGGCCACACTCACCCTGGCCACGCCCACCCAGCAACCAGGCAGAGAAGCTATTGCTAAAACTTTTGAAACCCACCTGTGGAGAATAGCCCATTATTTAGCAGACATTCGGAGATGATAAAGTGCCCCCTTTTCCTAGCAGCTTCACCAGGCTAGAAAGCAGGAGATTGCGAGTTCTAGTTCCTCCACAGCCATGAAAGCCAGTTGCATGACCTTGGGCCAGTCACCCACTCTCAGCCCAACCGACCTCACAGGATTGTTGTTGTGGGGAGAATAGGAGGAGGATACATTCACTGCCTTGAGTTATTTGTAAAAATAATAAAGATGGGGTCCAAGTAAATCAATAATATCATATAATACACATGTCAGCAGCAAAGCAAGCCCTGAAGGCCAGATAGCTCATACCTCTATAACTAGTTGAAAGCCTTCTCTCTTCTTGATTTCATCAGCTAGATACCTAGGATAAAAAAGAAGAAAATGTTAGGGAAGATGCTTGAACCACATGTCAGTCACTAGGGATGGCAGAAAGACTTTCCCCAAATATAGGATCTTTTCATATACCTAGTATAAGCAAAGGCCCTATCCACTCTCTGCTCCAAGCCTTTGCTACCGTTGGCCTTCCACATCAGCCACAACTTAAAGCAATCTACTTTGCGTCCACACTGGATGGTTTGGTCTCCCCTGTCATAAGCTATGTCGTAGAACTTGTCTGTCTGGAAGAGATAGGTAGCTTGGGCACAGTGGCATCTCTGCAGTAGTCCCTGGGAAGAAAGAGGTATCAAAATAGTTATCTTTTTTTTTAAAAAAAAAATTGTTTTTCACATAAAATTATTTATTCTACTTGACAGTGCAAAATGCTCTAAGTAGAAGTTCATTTCAAAGAACTTCAAAATGAACTGGAAAATGTGATAAGAATAGGGTGATCATAGACTCAGAAACCAGAGAGTTTAAAAGAGAGGTGTACAACATAAGACCTTGGGAGATTGTTAAGATACAATTGTTTCAAGGCAGTATGATCAATGGTGTGGGATAAGAAGCTAAGTCATATTTGGAGTGTGTTGTTCATTGCAGTCTCTAGTTCAAAGCAGGAACAGCATGGTAAGTAAAATACCTGTCAAAATTGGAGAGAGGGCAAGCAGGAAGAGAGAGTATCCAGAGGTGAACTTCTGTTATAAAAGACATGCCAATGGAAAAGGCTCTTTTTTTGAATCCCAACCAAAGCATTTGTTCTATATTAACATACTCCAAAAGCTGAAATCTGATTGGTCCACACGGACCACATCCTGATTGGTCTACTGAACGGCCGTGATTGGCTTCCTAAGAATCAACCGCAATTGGCCAAGCCGATCGCGGGAGATTCAAAGTCCTGTCATTGGCCAACGAGCCGCGAGCAATCCCTATATGAAGGGCTGCTGCGGCTCCAAGATCTTGTACAGATCTTAACATAAGATAAAGAGCTTGAAGTGCACTGGTCTCGCATCTCTTTTGTACCCAATCTAACAGCATTTCTAATTTTCATGAAAGAAAATAACAAGTTCCACGAGATCTTAATAGGCTGTCATGCCCGTATTGGCTCTGTTGGCTGTGGAAGAAACTGGGGAAGGGCACAGTCTGGATGGGCAGAGCAGGGGAGAGGTAGAGCAAGGGAGAGGGAATTCAGAGGAAGACCCAGGTCCATCCCCTCTTCATCCTAGGGCATGCAGGGAAGAACAGAGAGGGGAGCAATGTGAATTGTGTGGCTTACAGGGGAGGAAAGGGCCCTGATTCCCTTTATTAGCTGCAGCTGGGAACACAGTGTTTAAAAAGGGAAGCTGCGCACAGCAAGCTTGGGAGCAAATCATGAATTATCTGGTATCATTGAGGCTTATCTGTGTTCCTGGCGTCTTCCCAACTGTGTGTGTTTTGCTGTGCTTTCAAGTCTGCAATTCCTTCTCCTGCCCTGTCAAGTTAATTACTGCAGCGTGGTTTGTTTGAATTTTTAGTTAAGTTTGTATGTACTTTGTTTTCGGACTGAATTTCCTCCACTTAAAGACTGTTCCTGGGAGTTTTTCTCCAGCAAAAGGTAACCTGGACATTGGGGGCAAAGTTGGAGATAATAAAGGGACTCTTCTTGCTTATTTGACTGTGTTGCCTTTGTGCCATGCCCCGGGTCATCACATAGGAAGACAAACTCATATTAGAATAGATCCATAATCCCACAAAATTTTCTATTGGTCATTTATTTCAACACCTTTAGAAACTTTAGCTTGGATTTCTAAAGTTTCTAAATATTATGACTCAGAATTGATTTAAATATTATTTTCATAGCAAATATGTGATAACACTTCACAGATACTGAGAAGTTGAATATATTAGCCTTGACTGAGAATATCAAACTTCCATATTCTACAGCAGGGGTGTCAAACTCGCAGCCCATGGGCCGGATGCGTCATGCACTGGGCACACCCACTTCCATTTTAGCAAAGGGGGGGAAAGTTGTGATATGTCATGTGACCACGTGATGCCACGAGTTTGACGCCCCTGTTCTACAGTATGGAGTTCCACCTGTAATGCTGCTAGCTGAAGAAGTACTACAGTAATTAAGCAGAAGAAATCAGCATAAATCCTGAACGAGTTAATGTACAAGAAGATCTCACTTTGACTTTTGGGCAGAGAGTTGGATTAGGTAGCTCTGGCTTTCTTCTAACCATATTATCTGGAGGGAGAGAGAACTTATACAACATGATATAACTTATATCATGCTTCATGTCTAGGGAGAGAGGGAGAGAGGGAGGGAGGGAGAGAGAGAGGGAGAGGGAGAGGGAGAGGGAGAGGGAGAGAGTCTGAATACTTACAGAGTTATCCTGGACCAGGAAGGCAGAACACTGAAGCCCAGTCATAAGCATTTTGTGAGGGTTCCAAGCCACCGAATCAGCCCTGGATGGAAAATAGAAATGAGCGTTTTATAATTGGATAAACTTTGCATGCAAATAAATGCTAATAACCATATTTAGAAGACTGTTAAAACTTCAGTGGTGCACCTTTGTATTTTGGACCACATATATATATATATATGGCATATATATGTATATATATATGTATATATATATATGGCATTCAGCTTTGTTCGGGTATTTTCCCACGTCATTGTAGTTGTGCTTTTAAAGTTGTAGCAACGTTTCGGCAGAATCTCATCTGCCATCATCAGGCTTCTGTATAGCAAACACCTGGGCACAAACAGATCCCCCC